TTTAGTTATTAAAAAAATTTTTTTTTGAGACAGGGTCTCACTCTGTCATCTGGGCTAGAGTGCAGTCGTGTCATCATAGCTCACTGCAACCTCAAACTCCTGAGCTCAAGCGATCCTCCTGCCTCAGCTTCCTGAGTAGCTGGGACTATAGGCGTGCACTACTGTTCCTGACTAATTTTCCTTTTTTTTTTTTTTTGTAGAGACAGGGGTCTTGCTCTTGCTCAGACTGGTCTCAAACTCTTGGCCTCAAGCAATTCCCTGCCTCGGCCTCCAAAAATGCTAGGATTACAAGCATAAGCCACAGTGCCTAGCCAATTAACTTTAATTTAATATACCAGTATTAAGTCAGAAAACAACAGTTTATAAGATGTTGCAGAAAACATTTTGTACTGGTGAACTTAAGGTAAGGAGAGTTGATTTGCTGAAGGGTAACTGGTATTATCAAGGACAAGGGTATCTTTTTTCATTCTACAAATTTACACAATTTCTTATTCTTAGATTTTGCAGGGGGATGAAACTCATGGCATATATTTGGGATGTACAACATGTTGAGTGCAAAGTATACTACATTATATTCATAGAACCTTCCATATGGTTTGCTTCTAGAAAGATTGTAAGATTTTCAGCATGAATTCTCAGACTAACTCTGGCTGATATAAAATTCTTTCTCATGCCTGAGGTAATCATTTCAAGCACATGGTCTCAGGTGGAGTCTGTGTTCATATGCTTATTCAAGAGTAGATTTATGCTCTCTGCTGCTGTATGCATTGTTTTTTTAAACCCACAACACTATCTTCATGACAGGAATAGCAGGAAATAGAAAGAGGACAAACTGGCCTTCAAGAACAGGTCATTACCCGAAAAAATTACTTGGGGAAAACCTGATCTTAAGTTATTGCAGAATACATCTAAAGCAAATCAAAAGGAGAAACATAATAACAAGACAGGTGATAATAATAGAAAATAACCCCAGGAAAACCCATTCTTACATTATTTCAGACTAAATCTAGGACAACTAAAAAGAAGACAAATAATAATAATAGGAAAAATATTAAATGGAGCCCCACCCAGCAACCAGAAGGTCCTCCTTTTCACTAGCTGTCAGCGCCTCAGCTACTAGAGACACTTCCCTCTTCCATTTTCTGCCATCAGTGCTACTTTAGTTGCCACTTCAGAACCAGAACATCTTTTCATCACAACCCCCGATTCCCAAGCCCCTTCTGTGCTTAACCTGTGGCTCTGCATTGAAGCACAGAGCTCTTTTTCGTTCCTTTTGTTATAAAGGTGTTTACATGCACAACAGCGACATCTACACCAACGATAGCCATCATCTTTGTTGGGCACTTGCTATGTTTTTGGTACCAGGCCCTTTATATCTGTCATCTCACTTATTCAATGGGCTGGGTATTGCTATTCACTAGCATGAAGCTGTTTTCAGGGAGCAAAGCTCTTTGAATTTTTACTGGCTTTGAGCAGTGCTGATCCCATCATGGTGTCCCTTCAAAAGTTAATCTCCGGGCCAGCTCTCACCATCTTAATGGAAGGAGTTTAGTATTTAGTATTTAGAATTCAATGGGACATTGTACCATAGAAAAGAGATTGCATTTTGATACTTTGGGCTCCTTTAATATAGGTGATTTCCTTTTTTGGTCAAAGCCTGACACTTAGAAATACTCTAACTTAGGGTGCATTTATTTCTTCATTTATTCCGGATACTTCCATAGTTATTAAGGTGTCCATTATGCACAATATGGAAAATTTTAAGTAAGAAATATCCAGCCATATATTTCATTAAGGTCTTGATTAATGTATATTAAAAGGTATAAAAGGTTAAATTTATTTTATTTCACACTGGAGATCTAGTATATGTTCTTCTTATAATGAAGAGAAATAATAAGCTCTCTTGTTGCCTTTGTGTTTTTTAGGCTTCAGACAATTTAAGTAGTGAGTCAGTTAATATCAACAAACCTGCTGTGGACCAATTAGACTAATAAGACCTTTTTAAAAAAATTCTTAGAAGTCTGGCATTTTAGAAGATTTTTACTCTGATATTCAAAACTAGATTTTTTTTTTAAAGTAGAAACATAATTAGACCATTCTGGAACTTGTTAAGTACAGGTTAAATGTCAGTCAAAATAGCACTACTGAAATTGAAATCAATGAAAATATGTTGTTTCTTCCTCAAAGTCATAGATGTAACTTTTGAAAACCTGTTATGTGGGTTATTCTGGAAGAAAAAAAAAACAAAAACCAAAAACAAGCTGGTGACTAAGTGAGAGGTATATTAAGAGTTTCCCACACACTATTTCACACACAATCCAGCAATTCTTATCAGCAATAAGGAGAAATGGAAGACTAATGAAAAGAAGGAAAAAGAGCTGCCAGGCTGAACTCACCACAACTGCATCTCGCTGGGGAAAATGCACCTGAGTGCAGAGTGCATAAGTAATTTATTTTATTTTATTTTATTTTTTTGAGACAGAGTCTCACTCTATTGCCCAGGCTAGAGTGCCGTGGCGTCAGCCTAGCTCACAGCAACCTCAAACTCCTGGGCTCGAGTGATCCTGCTGTCTCAGCCTCCCAAGTAGCTGGGACTACAGGCATGCGCCACCATGCCCGGCTAATTTTTTCTGTGTATATATTTTTAGTTGTCCAGATCATTTCTTTCTATTTTTTAGTAGAGACAGGGTCTCGCTCTTGCTCAGGCTGGTCTTGAACTCCTGACCTTGAGCGATACACCCGCCTTGGCCTCCCAGAGTGCTAGGATTACAGACGTGAGCCACCGCGCCCAGCCTGCATCAGTAATTTAAATATATCAGAATTATCCAAGAGAAGCAAAAACTAAATGTGAATTCAAACCATTGCTTTGAAGGCTGGGATGACAAACTGTGTTGCCCTTGCTGGCAAGAAAATCCTCCCGTTTTCTCAGTTTACACAGTTGATTCCACCATGAGTCATAGATTTTCATGTGCTCTCTACATATAAAAAGTATTTTAAGAATGTCAGATGACTGCTCTCTTTCAGATTTCCACTTCTCCTTTCAAACGTCCATTAGTGCTGTGAATAGTGAGGAGGAATCAGAAACCAAATTATTAAACCCACAAAAATGATTCGATACCAGTGGCACAATCTCGTAGGCATTTACTAAGATAATTTAAGAAAAAAATTCTAATCTTTAGGTGAGTGTATTTCTGATTTTTATTCATTTCATTCCTGTTATACAGCCAACAAATATACCAAGTTCTGTTTAATGTAGCCCTGACAAGTTTTCCTTGTCTCCGACAGACAAGAGTTCTAGGTCTTGAGCTTTTGATGAGTAGTGCAACAATGCAACAATTGGTAACTCAAATTAGTGCTCCACAAAACAAACAAACAAATAAAAAGCTTATCAATGTTTTAATCGCAGTATAAGAAAATGATATATTTTTGTTTTGGAGACAAGCTAGCACTCAGGAAATACTAATAATGATTTACAAGAAAACTTAACTTTGTTGGATCAAGGAGATATGGAAATTCTTTAGACAATTATAAATGCTGTATATTTTCACATACCTTTTATTAAAGGAATAAAATAAAAAGAAATGTAATTTATACATGGCATAAAGCACTCTCATATCTTGTGACATTCTTACTTGGACGGAAGTTCCAATGACTGTTTTATAAATTCTTAATGTGGGGGAAATTTTTGCTTCAATGGAAAACTATGTGTTTTTCAGAGTACACCTTTCCAGGTTTTTGGATTCTGATTTTACGGGGCTCTGCTCCTTTCATGGCCTTTGAGCTATTTTACAACTCTGTAAGTTGTAGATAACTGGTAGCAATGCAAAATAATTCTTGTCTATAGACATGTAAATAAATTGTCTAGTGGAGGTTCAACTGAGCTTCCCTCCCACACCGTGGAAGAAGCCAGTTTTGCCTCTATTTGCAAATTCATTTCAGTATTTCTGATCTTGAAATGTTTTTATTCTTTGGATAGCCCTTTGAACTGGTTGTAACATCTTACTGGTTTCCTCATTAATAATGACAAATAAAAGAATGAGTTAAATAAAATATTTAGCATGTGTTTATTTTCTATCTGTATTTTCTATCTGTCTATCAGTATCATGATTTTACTTTTACTTGTTCTGAAAATTATTCTCTAATAACAATACAAAGAAAAAGTAGTTTTTGAGCGGAAAGTTTTGAAATTAGGTATCTATAATTTCCGATCTCACAGATGGTTACTAGGCTTTTCTTTTTCATTTTTCTGTGCTATAATTTTACTCTTCTAACTTTTATTCAGCTTCTGTTCATTTTTTTTTTTTTAATTCCAGGGTATTGCGAGGGTACAAACATTATGGTTATACTTTATGTCTTTGCCTCACCCAAGTGCGGGTTAAAGGGATGCCCTTCCCCCCCTACAGTGCTCCCTGTGTCCTTTAGTTGTGGATTTATCCCCCATCCCCCTAATCCCTGGAGAGTATTTCTGCCATGTGATCAACCTAGTGTTGATCAGTTAGTACCAATTTGATGTCGAGTACAAGTGGATCCCGTTCTTCTGCTCTTGTGGTGCCTCACTTTGGATAATGGGCTTAAGTTTAATCCTGGAAAGTATAAGAGGTACTAGATCACTGTCGTTCATTTTTTAACCCCAGATAAACTTTCCGATGAGTGGCAAATCAATGCAACAATAAGCAATTTAAATCTGTGCTCTACAAAGTTAAAACAAACAAACAAACCAGACTATCAATGTTTTAGTCACCATTTAAAAAATGATGTACTTTTATTTTGGCAACAATTTAGCACTCAAGAAATACTACTGATGATTTATAAGAGAACTTATCTTAGTTGGACCAAAGAGATGTGGAAACCCTTTAGATAATTATAAGTAGTGTATATTTTCAAACAACTCCCTTTTGCAAGTTGATATTTTTATAGAGACTATCCATAGGAACCATTACACTGTATTCAAAGGAAAATTTCGCAACATCCAATAAATGAAAACAGATTTTTATACTTACCGTGCCCCACCAGAGAGCATCTGCATATGTAGAAAACTCTTTATTGGCATCCTTTTCCACCAGGTAGACAAGGAAAGATGAAAAAATAAGAACCAAAAATCCTATGTACCAAGCGGTGATTAATTCCTAGATATAAAAAGAATGAAAGATTTTTAGAGGTGGAAGATTTTTGAAAAAGGAAAAAAGAAATCTGCATGATTCCATTCACCTTACTACATCCTGGATATTTATGATGGCTTTTAAATAATCCATTACATACCATACCCCAAAATTGCTTTAACCCATTTCTGAAATGGCTAAGTTTGTTTGTGATAGGTTTATTAAATATTGCAGCAATCAGTGAAAAAGTTTCAAAAATTTTGTTCCAAAACTTAGAGAGCAAATCTCACCTTGCTGTGAGCATAAACCACTGAACCCAGTAATTTCCAAGTGCCTCCCCTTCGGTCCATGCGCACCATACGGAGGATCTGTAGGAAACGGAGACTTCTGAGTGCAGACGTGGCAAAAATATTACCCTGAGTTTTTGCAGAAACAACTGCTATTGAAGCAATAAGAACAATGGTATCTGAAAGAAACAGGTTGAAACAGCCATAAATATCACGCCTAGGACTTTTTATTTCTCAAAACAGTATTTCTGAAAGGTTCACTTGGCACTTTATTCAAAATCAGATAAACAGATCTTGAACCCTAGCATCACCTGGTGCCACTTGGGCTCTGTGATGACTGGAGAGTGGAAAGGCGGAGAATGGGACTTACCTATTCCTGTGGTCCTGACCGCTTCGCAACTGTGTGCTTTACCTCAGCAATTTTGAACCACATGCTATTTAACCTTCAACAGATTGGACAATGGCCTTCTGAGACCTCAGAGTTACAAGGAGTCTTAGGGCTGTGAGGTAGCCTTCCACATCTCTAGTGTCATCAGCATTCCTATTGGCAGAAAGGAGCTCCTGCCTCAGCCCCCAACTACAAGGCTTCTGGTTGATGTGACCAGGGAATCGTAGCCTGTCCAGCAGTGAAAGTGCCACTAGGAATGATTATGCCTCTTGTTCTCTTGCCAAAGAAGTTTTTATCTCCTTTATGCCAAAAATTCCCTAATGTGTAGTGTACAACTGCACATACTATTTAACAAAGGCCTCAGCTAAGCAGAATACTCTATGCTTTCTGTAGAGAGTAGTCTTTATACCTGGCCCATCAATTATGTGCTAAGTTTGGTGCACACATTAAATAATATTACATTTGTTACAATAGAGTATGTAATTATAAACACTGTGCATTGCATGGGAATGCATATTTAATGTTTGACATATTGACTTTGGTGTAAAAAATATCTGCCTTTTTGTAAGCAAAAAAGAGAAAAAGAGCAGCTAATAAAACCACCGAAAAGATAAAAGAGGACTTAACCACTCCAAGAACCAATATCTGAGTGATGGAAAGAGGCGTTGAAGTGGGAGAAGTGAAGTGGGAATGAATGGCCTCCTGTGGCAATTTTAATAAAAGTTAGCTTGACTTAAATATCCTCAAATACAATTTCCTTCCTCCTCCAAGTGGGTTGTGCACGACTGGCCTTCCACACTCCAAAGAGGAGTTCCACTTCAAGGGCGTTGCATTTGTAATGTTTCTGTTATCCTCAGGATGAACTGTAGTATGAATGTGTATTCCTCATTCGGGTCATCCTTCTCCCCTTGCTGAGAAAGGTCTGTTGTCCTGGTGTGGACTGAGATCTTCTGAGTCACTCTGCTGGTGCCTCTTTATGGGTCAGTGCTTAGAGAGGGGTCAGTGGTGGCAGTGCAAGAGTCAGCTGCAGCACTTTTCCCAATCAGATCCAAACACTATGTAGTGGGTAGGTGCCCCAAGAGCCACAAATGCATCCTTGAGTTACTACTCTTGGCAACTCTTAGAAAAGATAAGGAACTAATGTGTTGACACAGACACTGAAGACATATTTTAAGTGCATAAAAGCCAGGTGCAAAACAGTATATACGATGTGATCTTATTTTAATAAAAATATATGTTAATATATGAGTAGGGAAAACATGTGAGACTATACACTGAGTATTACCATTAAGTATCTCTAGAGGTAGTAAGTTGGGGTGGATATGTGGCTAAAGAAACTTTTCACTTTCTAAATTATTAATTTCTGTAATGTTGGAATTTTATAACAATGAGTATGTCTTTCGAATCAGGAAAAAAAACTTTTATAAAAAGAGTTATGTGCAAACACATCTCTTGGCTTTCATCATTTGGAGGGATTTACTCCCGAGACTAGTGGTTTACAGACCAAGAGACATTACTTATGTGGCCCTGCTGGATATACGTTTTCTTTTATTTCACTGGAATCCTGCTTTCTCCTAAGTGTAGAAAGGAAAGACAAAAATACCTGAAGTAGTAGAAATAATTAGGGGCGCAGAAAATACAACACTTAAAACTTACTATGTGCCTGGCATTTTCTTTAGTTCTAAGTTTTTTACAAACATTTAATCCTTGCAACAACCTTATGAGTTAGGTACTCTATAGATCCCATTTTACAGATGAAAAAAGAGAGGCACAAAAAGCATATATTGTATTAATTTTTAAAAAATCAGCTATTGATTTGTTATGCTACGGCACAAAAAGTATGCTATGAAGTTAGTTCACTAGAGGAAACCTAAAGAAAGTAAAAGGAACACTGGTGATTTGAGACAATTTCAAAAATTATGCACACAGTGAATGATCATCTCAATGTCTGACGTTTCAAAATATGCAAAGGTAACCACAGATTTAATTTAATACCCTCATTGTAATTCAGATCAGACGAGAAAGTCAGAGTTCAGTAAAATGAAATCATAGATGAGCAACCAAATGGCAAACGGTGAATGCAGTCACAAAAATGTTTCTGGTTGGGTTACAGTCATCCACTGGAATTTTGCTGTCAGTACCACCTAGAATATTTTCTAGGCTAATATTTTAGAAGTTATGAGTAATATTTACTTTTATTTTTATTCATGTATTTATTATTTTTGAGGTCCATTACTTTATAGAATGAAGGTTCCACGGTGTTGGATCATTGTTTTGTCCACTAATGTATCCCAAGTACCTATAACAGTGCCTGAAATGTGGCAGACACTCAATAAATATTTATGAAATGAATTTACATTAAAAACACTTAAAAGTAGCTTGAGCTTTGTTCTCTTACCACATCAATGGCTTAATACCTGGGATATCAATCTAAAATACTCAAGTTTATCAAAGGATCATTTCAATATTTAGCATTGAATTCTACTGCAACATAATAGTTATAGCTGTCGTCTATTAGAATTTATAAAAATTAAATCTCCCTAAGATTATTGGGAGAGTAGTTTAATCTGTGCAATTAGTTAATTGTCTAAAATATTTTTTGAAACAAAACTAAATTGTGTTTAGTGAAGATACCACATTTTGGTATAAGGTAGAAACTACAGATAGCTCTTGAAGCTCATTGGCTTCAAGTACATTTGTTTATCCATTCATATATTAAGCAGTTAATTGAGTGTCAAGCATTATATTAGACACTTGTGTTAAAAAGGAATATTAATTCATCCATTTGACCACCCATCCATCCATCACAAATATTTATCAAGGCCCTACTATGTATTAGGCATTGTGCTAAATGTTTTATGTACATTAGTGGTTCTGCATGGGGACAATTTTGTATTCCAGGGGATACTTGGCAATGTCTGGAGACATTTTTGGTTGTCATAACTGGGGAAAGAGTTGCTACCAGCATCTGTGTTGGGGGCCAGACTTGCTGCTAAACAGCCTGCAATACCCAGGACAGCCTGCAGAACAAAGAATGACTCAGCCCCAAATGTAATAGTACCAAGGTTGAGAAAGCCTAATGTACATTATTTAATCCTTCAATAACCCTATGTAATAGGTAGTATTATAACCATCTCCTTCTTATAAATAAAGAAATTGAGGCTTGTAGTGGTCAAGTGACCAAGGCCCAAAATTCATATATGGTCGAGCTGTGACTCCAAAGCTGTGTCCTTAAGAGTTATGGTATACCACTCCTTGGATAAAAAAAAAAATCCAGGGCGGGATGGGGGTGGGGGAGGAAGAGAAAGGGGGAAGCTGTGAAAGCAGGTGGATAACAAATCAAGAATAAATTGTTATCACATAAAGCATGCAGGGAGGAGAGAAGTGCAGGGAGGATAAAGCAGAAATAAAATGATGCTAAAAAACAGATGGTACTTTTATGGATACATCAAGAGGAAATGGGGCTAGAGAAAGAAATAGAACTGTTAATAAACAAGGAGGAGCTCTAAATTGCACGGAAAAAAAACCATGTAATCCTGAGCTCTTAAAATCTACATCTCCCAAAGGAAACAGATATGAACAAATTGGGAAGTAGTGAAGAAAGAGTTATTGATTAGAAGTGGCCCAAGAGAAATGTGAAATATAGATTTACAAAGTATTAGGAAGTAGGTTCACAAACTTACTGACTCACTTAGAGTGATTTATAGATGATTCTTGAGATTTGAGGTGACTGCAAAGATTTTAACAAAATAAATACTGCAATGATATTTAAGACACATAGGGACTGTGAAAGAACTTATTATTAGATGCCGCAGGAACTTTGCTTGAGTATTATTTAGTCAGCAAAATCAATATGAATTGATCACCATGGACCGTATCTAAAAGGTATGAGTCACAGAAATACCAAAAAGCCCTCATTTTAAGGTGGATTCACATCCAATGCTATGCTATCATGAATGCAAGGATTGGGTTAAAGCAAGGCCAATTATACATCTGAACTTGACCGGCTGTGTTTTGTTGCCACAATTACACTACATAATGCATCTATTAAAAGGTATAACTTGGCTCAATTTAAAATCCCAATGCGAAGAACTAAATCATGTGGATCCAACAAACCATGGTTGAACACTTTTAAGTTAGTCATGTAAAGACAGACACATCGTCTAGAGGCAGACCACAAAGAGGATACATCTTGACCCCTAGAAACTGTCTGTAGACTTCAGGCTTTTTAAGTTTTTGCAGATTATAAGTTATTCTAGAGTCTCAGAAAGTTTTCACTAATAACTAAAATAAATTTACCTCTTGCCATTTATTTATTTTAAATTATTATTTTTTTTTCCCTTAAAAAAATTTTTTTTTACAAACAGGGTCTCACTGTATTGTCCAGGCTGAAATGCAGTGGCTATTCACAGGCGTGCTCCTACTATTGATCAGCACCGGAGTTTTGACCTGTTCCGTTTCTGACTTGGGATGGTTCACCCCTCCTTAGGCAACCTGGTGGTCCCCTTCTCCCAGGAGGTCCTCTTGCCCTTTAAACTCACTTTATCTTGTTCTCTCTGGGAAAATCAGAAGTGCAATAAATACAGTGTTCTTAATGATTATATTATCCTCTCCACCATCTTTTTTGTTCCAATGCCTTGAACTATTTTTAATGGCTTCACTATAAACTAAACTTGGAATAATTTTAATGAAATATATATTTTAAAGTTATAAAAGCAATAGCTGTTGTAAAATATCAAAACAATACAAATATGTTTAAAGTAGCAAGTTAATTTATTTAACTAGCCAATT